GGAAGATCCTTGCCCACTTCAGGGATGGTGGGATCAGTCCTGGGTACCATCTCCTCTCCTCTATGGGCCTTCCCAATTTCCAATTGAGTTCCTTGCGTGGCATATCAACAGCAGTTTGCCAGACATCTGGCTTCACTGCACCAGGAAACTAGGGTCAAACAATCTTCTCTAGCAAACCCCCAACATAAGGAGAGGAACAGGAGGCTGGGGTGGACAAAGAGCCTACCCCTTCCAATTTTATCTTCATCGCCGGACGAGACAGTCACGCTTCTGCCACCATCAATGGCCGACGATTCTCGTCAATTCTAGGACCTTGCAAAGAGGGTTACCAGACACCATCCAGATACCAATGGAGGAGGTTAAAGACTCACGCCACAAGCTCCTGGACATTTTGCAGTCAGTGACTCCTATCCAGGTTGTGTTGCCTGGATCCAGCAAAGACTGTGTGGCAGACTCCTGCCACCATACCACCAACTTGTAAACTGGCATATAAGAAATATTATTTCGCCCCGTAGGGACTCAGGATTTTTGTTTTCCCACACCCCAACTAATTCCCTGGTGGTGGATGCTGTCTACCCTGCCTGTTTGCAGCATTACTCCAGGTCTGCTCCTTATGCCAAGGACCAGAAAAGGTGAAACCTTCATGGACGGAAGGCAGCCTCAGGACCTTTGAGTTTCGGATGGCAAACTATCAGGCAACAATGGCCAAGTATGACTACATGAATTACAACAAATTTGCATCCTTTATGTAGAGCATAGAGAACAATTCCAGGTCATCATTAAGTAGTCTTTAGCCAAAACCTCTCTCCAAGCGTCCTTGGGTGCTGTGGACACTGCTGCTAGATTCATCTCCATAGCAGTTGTCATAGAATCATAGAAATGTAGAACTGGAAGGGACCTTGATAGGTCATCTAATCCTGTCTCCTGCATGACTGAGTATTATCTATTCTAGACCATCCCCGACAGGTGTTTGTCTAACCTGTTCTTAAAACCTCCAATGGCAGAGATTCCGCAACCTCCCTAGATAATTTGTTGCAGTGTTTAGCTACTCTTAGGCCAGGTCTACACTATCCCCCTAATTCGAACTAAGGTACGCAACTTCAGCTACGTGAATAACGTAGCTGAAGTTCGAAGTACCTTAGTTCGAACTTACCTTGGTCCACACTCGGCAGGCAGGCTCCCCCGTCGACTCCGCGGTACTCCTCTCTCCGAGCTGGAGTACCGCAGTCGACGGCGAGCACTTCCGGGTTCGACTTATCGCGTCCAGACTAGACGCGATAAGTCGAACCCAGAAGTTCGATTGCCAGCCGCCGAACTAGCGGGTAAGTGTAGCCAAGGCCTTACAGTTAGGAAGTTTTCCTAATATCTAACCTAAATCTCCCTTGCTGCAATTTAAGCCCATTATTACTTCTTTGGTGATTAAGGAAAACAATTTATCATCCTTTATAACAGCCATTTACATACTTGAAGTCCCCACTCAGTCTTCTCCAGACTGAATAAATCAGATTTTTTCAATCTTTCCTCATAGGTCATGTTTTGCACTCATTTTTGTTGCTCTCCTCTGGATTTTCTCCGGTTTATCTAGATCTTACCTCAAGTGTGATGCCCAGAACTGGACATAGTACTCAAGTTGAGGCCTTATCAGTGCTGAGTAGAATGGAAGAATTATTTCTTGTCTTGCACTCATGTGCAGGGTGTCATGGCTCCAGTTGGCGAGATTCCTGAGAGAGTCTAAGAATGTGGTTGAGGACCTCCCATTTGATGATCAGAAGCTTTTCTTGGGAGCTATGGATGGGTCCATGCACACACTGAAGGACTCCAGGGCCACATTGAGGTCTCTGGATATATACACCCCTACAAACGAGGAGATTTAGCAGGTCTCAGACTGCCCAGAAATTGCACTCAACTCAGTACTCTGGTTTTCACAGAGCCACTGAACCTGCTAGAAAAAGACAGATTCCAGAGGAAAAGAACTTCCTACCCTCCTTCACCTAGTACCCAGTCATTATCAAAACAATAATTTTGACAGATTGGTTGAGAGTTCGACTTCTTCCTCACTTCTAGTTTGCAAGCTGCAACCTTTTGCCTCCTTTCCCACTTCAGGAGACTTCATTTCCAATAGGCTTGGCAGCGTATTACAACAGGTCATGGATGTTATAATACTAGGCTACACCATCCATTTCACATCCCTCCATATCCATCCCCCTTCTCCATCCTTCTTCAGGGACCTTTCTCACAAGACTATATTAAGTCAAGAAGTACACTCCCTCCTTTGCTGAGGAGCAATAGAACCAGTCCCATCCCCTCAAGGGAAAGGGTTTTACTCCATTTTCTCATGCCAAAGAAGGCTGGAGAGTGGAGACCGATCTTAGAGCTAAGACGACTGAACAAATTTGTAAAGTCTGAAAAGTTCCAGATGGTGATTCTGGCACACAGCAGATACCTGTGCTTCACCATGGGCCAGGATAATTTTCATTACTGAATACTCGTGATCTGGTATAGCGTGCTATTATCCTTTGGGGAGGCAAAACACCAGCTTCATTGTAGCAAGCAGTAACACACCAGAGGTCCATCTCAGCAGTCCCTTGAAGAGATTGTGGACCCCTTTGATCTTCCTATGTTGGTGACAAAGAGTCGAGATGATTTCCAAAATTGTTTGGTCCTGTCTTCTCTTCAGCCCCAAGGGTGTTCACGAAGGGGTTAGCAGGATTGGCTGCTTACCTTTGTAAGAAGCAATTTTAGTTTTCCCATATCTCGACAACTGGTTACATAAGGGCCGATTTTTATGAAGCCATACTAACTTACACCCAGACAGGTCTCTCCCTCTCCCAGGAGTTGGGTCTCCAACTAAACGTAAAGAAAGCCAAGTTAGCCCCGGTACAGAGAATACAATTCCATGGGGCATATTTGGATTTGTTGGCAGCTAGGGACTTCCTTCCCACAGACAGATTGATAACTTTGTTGAATCTGGTTTGGACAATTCAGGGAAGCCCTAGTATTATAGTAAGGAATGGCTTGCAGCTCCTGGGTCATGTGGCAGCTTGCACCTTCGTGACCAAGCATGCAGGATTACGTCTTGGCTACTTTTAAGGCTGGTTCATGAAGTCCTATTCCTCACCCAGAGTTAAGTTGGACAAACAGGTCACAGTTTCCTGCCAGGTGAGGAACTCCCTAGATTGGTGGTAAGATCAGCACAAAGTTTGTGCAGGTGTCCTTTTCATCTGCCCAGTTCCAGCAGTAACTGTGACAATGAACACATCATTGTTAGGTTGGGAGCACCCTATTCTATCCATCTACCTGTACTTTTTTCCCCTAAACCACATAAATGTCAGCAGGGGACTTTTCTTCATATGTTAGATGTACAGTGGGCATCGGCCTTTTATCTGGATAGGACCAAGCAATTTTGGAAATTACTTAAACTCTGTCTCCAGTGCAGAAAGTTCAAAGAGGTCCACAATCTCTTCAAAGGACTGTTGAGATGGATCTCTGGGTGTATTACTGCTTGCTACAATGCAGCTGGTGTTTTGGCTCCCCAAAGGATAATAGGACACTACCAGAGCACAAGCAGCTTCCACAGCATTACTCAGAAACGTTCCGTTTCTGAGATATGCAGAGCTGCTACACGGGCTTCAGTGCATACGTTTTCTAAACTCTGTGCCTTGGTTCACTCCATCAGATCTGGTGCGGAACTTGGTTCTGTTGTATTATCTTCAGTCATGGACTTGATTCTGAAGCTTCTTCCTCCATGTGAGGATACAGTTGGGGAGTCACCTGAAGTGGAGCACCCATTGGGACACTATTCATAGAAGAAAAAAAGGTTTCCCACCTTGTGCAGTAACTGTGGTTCTTTGAGGTGTGTGTCCCTGTGGGTGCTCCGCTACTCGCTCTCCGTCCCCTCTGCTTTGGACTGTTCTTGCTGGATGTTTGGCTAGAGAAGGAACTGAGGGCAGTTTGCCCACACAGCCCTATGTACCCTTGTGGCACAGGGTTGTCTAGAGCCATGTGCAGGCTGAACGGATGTTGCTAATGGAAAATCTCTGATCAAGGGCTCAAGCGGCACATGCGTACCTGAAGTGGAGCAGAAGGTGAGTAAACTGTTCTTTTACATTTATTAACTTCTTTGTAAATGCATTACACGGATTATCCACTAAGAAATGCCTAACTCTTTTAGTTTAAGCCTATTGAACTGAACGAAATACATTGTTCTCATTTAAGAATCCTTTAAAATGTTTGGGTTTTTTACCTTTAGAAAGTGTCCCATAATTGCTGTTTGATGACCCAGTCTTGCAGCTCCTATGTTTACATACGTTCCATTGAGGCTGTGTGCACACTACTATGGCATCAGGGTTCTGATATTTTAATTTTCAAATTGCTTTTTTCTTCAGAAAAGTCTCTCTTCTAGGCACTTAAGAAAAAACAAATCTAGAGGACGTTTTTTGTTGTTGTTGACATTTTAATATCTAAGGTGCATTTTAAATTTTTAGAAAAAGCTAAAAATACTTTTTAAAAAAATAAACTACACACATAAAATAGTAAGTAATGAATACACAAAACATTCATCTGAAAATTTGTATAAGGCTTTAGGGCCCTAAAAATTAATTACAGGGGTTTAGGATTAAATATCAACCTTAAAAAAAAAAAAAATAACTACTGCTGAGATTTTACTGTCAAATTTAATCTGAGAGCATTTTTTTATGCCTGGGTTAGTAACTCATAAAAATTTACACATCTTCATATATTAGTATCATAATGTGTAATTTGATTGAAACTAAAATGTTGAGTAGCTGCTGTTAAAGGTTTTATTTATTTTAGCAATCAGATAAAATTGCATCAAGAGCAATATAGTCCAAAGAGATTTTATAATAAATGTTAGTGCCATATTGTTGTAGTATACAAAATAGCTTGATAGAAATGAAAATTCTGATATTTAATTTCCATAACCAAAAACTTGTTTGATGCTTTGCTGCAAAAATTAAACTTTCAGTTTTTCCACATTTTAGATTAAATAAAATTATGAATCAGGTGGCCATTCAACGGAAGAAGCAGTTTGTTGAAAGAGTACACAGTTACTGGTTACTTAAAAGACTGTCTAGGAATGGTGTTCCTCTGTTGAGAAGGCTGCAGTCCAGTTTACAGTCACAAAGAAACATACAACAGGTACGTAGCACACTTTTTACTCAAAACACAGATTTCAAGTCTTTTAATTTAATTTCATTTTGTAAAGAAAACACCCCCAAAAAAAAAATTTTCTAGGAAACTAGCTTTGAATAAAATTTGATTTTCCTTTCAATTACCACCTGATGGATAATGTCCTCTGAATTCTAAGTTAAGATAATTGAGTCTTGACAAATATTTTTTTAGGCCTCATTAGATGTACAAAAGTATTTTTTGTATTTATCTTGGGCATGTTGTAGCAGGGAAATACTGTTCACCAAACTCTTAGAACATCATCTATAATAATATTCAGGTTATTATATCTCACTCATTACTGGGGTCTGAGTGTTTTACACCTATGGTACACCAATAAGACCCAAAAATGCATTTTTATTTTAATATCCATTGGAAACACATGAAGCAAATTCAGTGGTTGCCAACTGGAAAAGAGAATAAGGAAAGCTTTTGGAGGTATATTTTACAAACGGGGGAAGGCAGGGTAGCCGAGTGATTAGAGCACTGGACTGGCATTCAGAAGACAATTCAGGTTCATTCTCCAGCTCTGCTACTGCATTGCTCGGTGACCTTGGGCAAATCACTTCCCCACATTGTATCTCAGTTCCTGATTCGTAAATGGGGATAATGATACTGATGTTCTCTGTAAAGTGACTTGAGATCTATGGGGATGAAAAGTGCTATGTAAAATCAAGGTATAATAAACATGACCTGAAACTTTTTTAAGTTCCAAAGGTTTTCTCCTGGTGTTTGGTGGCAGCAGAATTAAACCATAAATTGTCCAGGGTGAAATTCCCCTCAATGTAGAGAACCCGACAGAGATCTACGTACCGTTTCAATCCTTCTGAAACAGTGCTTCTGTATCCTGGGAAATTTCCCAAAATCTGGGAATTTTTGAGTAAAATGTTTTGAATGAAAATTCCCAATTTCCCAAGTTGAAACATTTTACTCAAAATTCCCAGGTTTTGGGAAATTTCCCAGGATATAGAAGCACTGTAAAAAAACTTTATCTGGGAATTTTTCACCAGATTTGGGAAATTTTTAGTGCTAGGAAACGTTGGGAAAAGTTGGCATCACGATATAGAAGCACTGTTCTGAAACCATTTTGTGATTCCTTAAGTGGGACTAAAATTATACAACTGTACTGGCTTTCTGCATAATTGCACTTTAGCAAAACCACATTTAGGTTCACTTAAAATTATAAATATATTTAGAAAATGATGTTCGTGAAAAACAAAAGAAAAAAGTATTACCCTTTGCCATCCAATTTCAGGGTCCTAATCAGGAGTAGGAAGCAACATGTACTTTGTTTCAGGGGCTTGTGAGGTTGTCATCTCTTGTGCGAATAACACATAACCCTGACCTTGGGTCTTTACGTGCTTAAAAATGTGTCTAATTTTAAGTCATTAGTAGATTCTATAAATGAGTTAAGGCCCCATCCTGCAATATGAATTATGATGGCAGAGCCTTGCCCCACTCTGATTCAGTAGGGTTCATGTAGTGCAGATTTCAGCCTGCAGGGATCAAAATGCAGGAGTTTTTTAAGTCACTCTTTTTTTAAAAGAGCTGAGAATATATGTGACTATTTCAGTTTGTCCTCTTTTTTTTAAAAGTGAGCCCCATAATATGTATAAAGCAGTCTTCAGTTTTAAAGTTGTCCTCTTTTCATGAAGAACTCTTGATCAGAAGAGTTTAGTATAATTTTATATTGTCATTTAAATTTAAATTATGATTATATAAAATAACAATTAAATTCAAAATTTCCCTCCGTGCATCAAGAACACTGTGTTTATACTGTGCTATTATTTGCTAATATATCACTCGCTGGTAGCCTGTCCTGGGGTGTGTGTGTGTGTGTCTGTGATCATGATCATTGTTGCTTTGTCACTTCCTTAGTTCTTCTCTTTGTCCCTTTCTCCCCCTCCCACGTTTCTTCTCTCTTTTTCTTTTATGAAAACCCCATTGTTGTGGATTGTGACATCCAAAGTAGTTATTTATAGAGGTAACAGAGCTGGTTGATAAGACTGACAAGTTCTCTGATAGAATTGACATTGAATGTAAATCAGCCAGTTATTTTTCTCTTCTCTCCTTGCTTCCCTGTTCTGCTTGTGTAGAATTTTTTAAATGTGTAATTTTAGTTTTTATAATATCTTAGATTTCGAATTTTTGATCTACACAACTAGGTACTGATCCTGCACCACTGAAGTCAATGGGTGAAGGATCAAGCTCCTATAGAAGGCTATTTGAATAATGTCTCACTAATCTAAATTGGGTCAGAAATTTAATAGCTCATTGCACTATAAAACAGATAAACTGTACAACTATAAAAGTCTTGTGTAATCTTCTAGTTTTAAATACTAGAAATTCCAGCTTAGAAGACCTAATGTTACACATGAATAAAGTCATTTGTGTATAATCTTAATTATTCATAAATATTTGCGACTAAAAAAATCCCCAAGTAATTGTAAAATGACTTCAGTGGGAGCTATTTGTGTGCCCAGCATGTCTAAAAATCTGGGCAAGTGCCTAAGTATGGACTTTAGGCTTTTAGGCTTCTGTTTCTGAAAAAGTTGGCCCCCATTACTTGGTGGATGGGAAAGAAAATACAAAATAATTCTGCTTTTGGGATGACATCTTGATTCACACATTTTAAAACTTCATAATTTAACAGTGAATAATTTAAATTAATTGGCAAGTGCTGCATAGTACTCCTGGGGGAATTCTGCACCATTGAACAATGCAGAATTTGTGTAGAATTAATGTTCTGCGCAGAATTTCATTTTTCCTGGCAGAATTGGTGCTGCAGAGCTGCTGGCCATCACTAGGGGCCGCTGGACCCATCAGAGTCTGACCCTCCAGCTCACAAATACAGGACGTTGCTGGGGACAGAGGGGGAGCTGGAGGTTTCCAGGCAGCTGCAGTTCCCAGCACGTCCTGAAGGAATGATGTGGTGTGCAGGAAACTCCGTACAACCTTGGCACCCAGCATCAGGCTGTTTCTCTCTCTGGATCCCTGGGCTCTGGGCAATAGGGGTGTGGGTGGCAGGTCTGGGACGGGGGCACCCCACAGTTGGGCTCTGGGGGGGGGGATGTGGGTGTTTGGGCTGCGGGGTGCCCCGCAGAAGGCTCTGGGGGAGGGTGTGTGTGTGTGTGTCTCTGAGGCTGGAGTGGCAGAGTTTTGCCCCAAGATGTGCCCAGCTGGCAAGTGTGACACACCCATACTGAGATGCCCACAAAAGCATAACAGAGAAACAGGAACTGAGTTGTCATAAGGGTTTCTTTAACTCTACTCCTCGGGGAATCTCTTTTGTTGTCTGTATTGTTACAGACATACTTGCTGACAGGCATTTTGAAATAATTTACCAAAATAATTGAAACTGGTGTGATTATATTGTGTTATTTTGACAAATAAAATATGCAGAACTTTGCAAAATTTTAAAATATTATGCACAGACTTTTAAAACTTTTGTCACAGAATTCCCCCAGGAGTAACATAATGGAATTATAACTGGCAGAATGAAAGCACTCTATAGTTTAGATTGTTGAAGTGTTTTCATTTTAAACCCCTCTTCTGACTCACTTTCAAAAACTTTTGCTTGCTAAACTGAAATTCCGCAGAACTAAAAAATTCTGTGCCTTTCTCCAAAGGTGAGTGTGTAGCTGGTTGGTTTATGTTTTGTTTTTTGAGCTTAATGAAAACATGGTTCAGCCATTCTTGACTAAGAACTGAGGGGGAGGGTGGGAGGAGGAACATATCCACTTAAAAAAACACGGATGTGTTGGAACAGCTTGATAAAAACGTAACACTGAAATCTGGATGCTTATGTTCAAAATTTTAAAGTCAAATATTAGAAAATATTGGTGTGATTTTAATATAATGGATTAATCTTAATGAGCCACTTCTCTCTTTTAAAATGTGCTCTAATATTAGGGCAATCAACAGATTACTACAGCCTAAAGGGGAGATTTAACGGAGATAAAGATGTATATTAAACATAAGTTTTTAAAACTTGATTTGTAACCCTTGAACAGGGACCCTTTAGCTTGCCTGTCTGGCAGTATTAAACACATTTTGCTGCAGCTGTTTTTTTACTTTTAAGTTGTTCAGGTTGTACTTTAAGTATTTAAAAAGCATCTTCAGGGTACCACAATGTATGTACCCTTTTAATCATTTAAATGTCAATATATATTGCTCTTTATAATCATTTGGTAGAAAAAAAAATTGTAAATAGGTTTAGTATTTCCTCCATAGTTTAGGATTTACCAACTATTCTGAAACCAACGAAGATAAAATCTCAGTGTAATAAAAAATCCTATACTGAAATTCTTAAGATTTAATCTGAAAATAAATTCCACAAACAGGAACCTAATTAGAAACTGAGATTGGTTGTATGTAAGCTGTTTCAACTGAAGAGGCCATTGGTCCATTTTAGTTAATGCTCAACAAATGAGAATGAGAACTTTGTTATACACCTCTACCCTGATATAATGTGATCCGATATAACATGAATTCGGATATAACGCGGTAAAGCAGTGCTCCCGGGGGGGGCGGGGAAGCTGTGCATTCTGGCGGATCAAAGCAAGTTCGATATAACGCGGTTTCACCTAGAACGCGGTAAGATTTTTTGGCTCCCGAGGACAGCGTTATATTGAGGTAGAGGTGTACTTTCTTTTCATTTCACCTTAGGGAGCATCTATCCCGTACAAACAGATGGTGAAATATATTTGGTAGATGATGAGCCTCTAATTGTTTTGAAATGAAATAAAAAGATTGATGTTTTATTTGTTCCTTATTTCTTCAGATTCAAAAGTAACTCTCTCAAAAGAGGGTTATAATATTTTCAATAGTGTCAGTTTTATTTCTGCACCTGTAAGGTTGGAGGAGAAATTACAAACATTTTAAAGTTGTTTAAAATGGTTTTCCTAGATTGAAAGTACCTAGTATAAAAGAGGACTAATAATAGAAACCTGAATATAAGGTTCTTTTTC